ACTTCTGTGACATGTACTCCCCAGCTCATTGTACTGTCCATATAGAGACCTAGGTTTTTTACAGATTGCGAGAGTGCAATTATTTTATTGTTATAATAGACAGCAGGTAGGCTTGCGTAGTTAATTTTGGACAACAATCTAGAGCTGCCAGCTAGCATGGCTTGGCACTTCATAGGGTTAACTGACACTCCAAATCGTGACGACCAATCGTAAATAGCATTTAAGTTAGAATTTATTTTAGCAATTGCGTTATGTAGCCCCTCAACATCTGTTTTGTACGTAAATTTGCAAGTCGTCGGCGTATAGATGGTACGAGCAATCAATACAGGAAGTGATGGAGTTTATGAAAACAGAGAAAATTAAGGGAGAAAGTATACCGCCTTGCGGAACGCCAGATTCTAGACCAGCCCATTGAGAAGACTCTTGCCCTATATGGACCGATTGCTGGCGCCCACGAAGATACGAAGAAAACCAATCCAAAACTGTGGGCGCAAAATTTAAGCGGGAAAAAATGGCGAGGAGGATATCGTGATCAACTGTGTTGAAAGCGTTAGAGAAGTCGACAAGCACCAATACTGTGACTTTCTGATTTTCCATTCCAAGCCTAATGTCATCTGTGACTTTAATTAGCGCAGTTGTGGTGCTGTGTCCAGAACGAAACCCGGACTGATAAGTGCTCAGTAGGTTATTGCTATAAATAAACGTAGAGAGTTGCTTATGCACACAGGCTTCTAAGACTTTAGAAAGGAAAGGTAAAATGGAAATAGGACGAAAGTGATTGGGAAGTGTAGGATTAGGTACTTTAGGAAGGGGTCGCACGTATGCCTTTTTCCAAAGCATTGGGTAGTGACCTGAGTCGAGGGAAAAATTGACAATATGTGTAACTGCAGGGATGAGGTAATCCATTACATGGCCTATCATAACCCTACCTACATTATCACAACCCACAGCTTTAGATTTGATTGCCAGGATAGTTTTTCGAATGTCATCTGCATCAACAGAAGAAAAATTAAAAATTGGAATGTGTGGGAACTGAATGGAAGATAGATAATCAATTGTTCGAGTACGGATAGTAGGGTCTAATATCGGAGCAGAGACAAAATGAATGTTTATATCTTCAGGAGAAACAGAAAGACTACAATCCACATGAGATGTCTTGCCGACGCCAAGAGAATTAAGGAATTTCCACACATCCCCTGACGAGGAGTTACTTATGCTATTATGGATATATCGGCGTTTAGCAGCTCGTACCATCTGATTACATCTATTTCTGGCGAACTTAAACACTGCCCAGTTCTCTTCGGTCCGATGGTTTTTGAAATAAGAAAAAGCACGATTGCGTCTAGCCATTGCCCTTCGAACATCATTTGTCATCCATGGAGCTGGAGGACGTTTCAATTTTAATTTAGAGGCTGGAGCATGGAGATCGTACAGACTTATTACCATGTTATTAAAAACAGTAACCTTATCATCAATTGTTGATGCCGTTAGTAAAGTAGAAAAGTCTAGAATAGACGCATCGCGGAGAAGCCTTTCTTTGCTCATTCTTCTGAAATTGCGAAGATAAACATAAATGGGACTAGGTTTGGGAACTTTAAGTTTGTAAGAAGCGTAAATAAGGTCGTGTCGAGAGAATCCTGGAGCCGAAAATTGTCCGTGCTTTACCACACGGTCCAGACAGTTAGTGATAATGAGATCAATAAGAGAGTCATCCGTGTCGATATTATGATGCGTAGCCCTTAACGGTAGAATTTTGAGATTCACGGACTCAATTATTGTTTGGAGCTTTAGAGAACGTAAAGAATTTTTTAAAAGATCAGTGTTCAGATCACCCATGATCATGCAGTGTGCGTTCCCTGAACAGACATTTTCGAGAGCTATTTCTAAACTGACGAAATAGACTATAGAAGGGGGACAGTACACTACTCCAAGGATCATCCTCATACCTTTGACATCGAGTTCCAGGAACAGAAATTCAGCTGAAGCGGTGTACAGAGAGGGGGATGTCAAGACAATTTTATATGTTAGCGATTTGTGCAGATATATAGCAACCCCACCTCCTCCTTTCCCCGTACGATCGTTTCGGATAAGTACGAAATCAGGTATTGGATATAATGTTGAATTTAAGGAAGGTTTTAACCAACTTTCAGAGACTAAGATTGCGTGAAGACGTACTGAAGAAAAAGATTCTTCGAGCTCTGAGAAGTGGCTCGGTATACTTTGAGCATTTATATGGCAAATATTTAAAAATTTATCAGTGAATGGAAAAATAGCATTTATTTGATCTTTTACCGAAGGAAAATTATCATTCATAGAGTCACTACAGGAATGAAATGAATTGTCAGAGTCACTATCTGAGTAGTGAATCTCGTAATCCGACATAATTAGAAAAATGTAATAAATATATCAATATATATATTTAGAATAAAATAAAAGATATTAAAATAATGATACTACTTAAAACTGAAAACAAAGAATATTTAAAAAAAAAAAAAAAAAACTAAATTTATGATACCATCCCACCAGTTGACTGTTTACAGATTAAAACTAACTAAAATCAAATCAAGGAAAAAAAAAGACCTAGTAATACAGAAAACAAAACAAAATATTATGATATAGGAAACGCAAATAAGATATACAGATATGCACCATATAGTTTCCAGATATTTGATATCATGGCCACAGACAAAAAATTAGATTAATATTACAAAATCAAAAAGTAAAATTATACACATCAACAAAAAAAAAATTATAGTATAAAAAGCAATAGCGGTGTATAATTTTTCTAAAAAAGGCAACATATAAATCTTAAAATGCGATAGATGACATGCAATCATTCATTAGTAATACTTGTTAAGCTGCATGTTTAATGATCTGTACCTGTCTTGGAATTAGTAGTAAACACTAACCAATCTTATTTTTATTATTAAAATTCAAATGCAATGTGTTATTCTATCTATTTAATCTAATTCAATTTAATTCTAAATCTATTCAATTTAATCTAATTGTTATTTTTTTAATACTAAATATTTTTTTTGAATTTTAATTGAAATTTTGAAATTTTATTTTTTGACTGAAGTTAATTATGAAGAAAAGTGTGTAGATCCAAGTCAAAGTAGAATCATTAAACAGCAAGCATTAAATAATGAAAAAAGTGGCAAAGGACAGAAAATTTTTAGAATCTGTACAATAATACATTTATAACATTAGAAATACTTGATTGCACAACTTATCTGAGAACTAGGGTGCTTCAAATTAATAATTATTTTCTTTGCTGGCACCCGTCTACATCTCTTGTTGTCATCCTCAAGGGCCATTGACGACGGTTGTGGACGCCGAATTTTCTCAGGCTGAGCAGCAATGGGTGATATACGAGGTGCCTGAATAACTTTTTTGACCTCAGTGGCACAGGGAGCCTTGGTAGCAGTAGTGGATGTGGATATTGCTGGGAACTTGACCATGAGAGCATCTAGCTCTTCCTGAGAGGAGATCTTGGCACGTCCTTCAGGGTATTTAACATATATGGCTCCATCCAGAGACCATACATTTTTTATGCCAAAATGGTTTCGGGCACCCCTATACACAGACTGTCTTATTCTGGTCAAGAACTCACTAACAGAGATGGCAGATCCTTTTAATTTAGACTTCATTTTCCAAATTTTCGATTTTGATTCATGGTCAGAGAAGTAGACAAGAACAGGCCTTGGTCGATTACTGTGTGAAACACCAAGTCTAAAGCATTGTTTAAAGGAAGTACCTGTGAACTCTGAGAGTTGCATCTTCTCATGCAATAACAGCAACACTTTTTGTGATAAATCTTCTTGTGACTCCTCTGCCATCCCGTTAAAAAGCAGAGCCTTTCTACGTTTGTGCATATCTATTGAATCTATACCTTTTACGCAGTCCAGGATCTGCTGTTGCATAAGGCTGAGCATAGAGCTTACTATCTCTTTGAAATTGTAGAATTCATCACGTAGCTGTATGAGAGTTAGGTTAGTGGGAGTGGAAGCAGCCTTCAGTCGCTCTTCAAATTCAGCCATTTTTAATGTCAAGGTTCCTTCAAGTCTTTTGTGCATGTTTTCCACACCAGAAATGGTTGCCATTATAGTCAAATATAATGATAAATTAAATAGAGAAGTTATAGCAGTTTGATTGAGAAAGAAGTTATGGAGGGATAGTGTGATTATATGGGCAAAGTTAATTAATTTACCATACTAATTATTTCCACTTTATTATGTACTTGAGTAATTTACAAATAACTAATCAAACACTCTAAAAACTTATTGTATATATTATTTAAGATATTAAATAACGCAAGGTCAAAATCAGCTGTTTCTTATTCAACACCTACCCTCAATTTTTCTAAAAATATCTTGAAATATTGAGATGAAAAATGGAAAAAAAAGTTTACAATCTAATTTGTTACCTTTATTCATTTCTTTTTCTGTTATTGCAATCTTTATGAATAAGCACAGTTCTCTCTAAACGTATTCTAAACGTATGCCATAAACTAACCCAGTTCATTTTTTATATGCAAACATTTTATATAAAAACGAGCAATATTGTTTGCCACTGACATTGATTGATGTTAGTGATTACTAACGGCCGAGCGGAATTAATAAGAGTTATTAAGATTCAGCGTTCTAATATAGTGAAAATATTTCATAGTACGGTGTCAGCCTTAATTTTCATAACATCTATGTATGTACATGGCTCCACCTTAAGAATATTAAGAGCAAAGATTGATGGCAAAGAAAGTTCCTAAAAGACTCCGATGGCGAAAGTACATTTTTTTTTTATTAGATCGGTTTTATAGCGAGGATGAAAGGTACTTCGGAGGGAAGTACCGGAGAAAGTTCGAATCCCGCAGCGCTGAAAGGTTTTGTCCACTTGTCTATTACTATGTTTTAACATTATTCTGTATTCTGTATAGACCGTAATAAACATTATGTGATTAAGCTCACGAAGTAAGTGAAAAAAAAAGCATTTATTCTCACATTATGGCTCATGTTCTGTACTTTAAATTGTTACAGCTGGACTGGCTTTTGGCAGACAGCTCGCCCATGACTTCGATCGCGGGCCTTCGGCGAGTACTTCTCAACGGCTCGTTAGAGCTCCCTCCCTTCCCGGCCGGGAGATATAGACGCGACGTGCACACTGCCACCTACAGGTGTCGCGTGAAACTGAACAGTGGCTATGCCGTACTGTCAAAGAACATTCACGTGCACGCAGGTGAACTATTTTCGACAGTCGGCTACAAGATTTCATTCGTGTTGAAGACCCGAATGGCGTAGTGGGCAGTGTACCTGCCTCCTGCGAGAAAGGGTGTGAGTTCGATCCTCATACTGGAAAAATATTGTGGAATGAGATAGTGTTTTTCAGTGTCTGGGTGTTTATGTATGTATAATATGTATTTATTTACAAAAGAAATGTATGTTCACGTATGTTTATCAGTTATCTAGTAGCCATAGTACAAGCGTTGCTTAGTTTGGGACTAGAGAACAGTTGTGTAAAAATGTTTACTAAAATATTTATTTATTTATTCATTTATTAATTAAACAGAACAGTGCACCCCGAATTTGATGTTATTCAATCGACGCTTTACATTAAATCGACATTTAATTCAACGATTTATTGTGATTTTCCATTTGTGAGATAACAGAATAAAATTGGATATAACAAAAAAGTGATATCCAAAATCCAAAAATAGCATTTTCAATTGTCATCACATCGGATGGTTTTACCAAAAACATCTAAAAATTAAGATATCCCGTTGAACTTTTCCCCTTGTGCTCATTATTTCTCGTTCAATGACAGTAAAGGTCGAGAGTGTCCTAACTATACACTGACACGAGTTTGATGACATCACCTATCTGCCTTGATAAAGGACCCTACAAATTGATGTCAGGTTGGCAAAATTTATGTCAAGTAGACACAATTAGACCAAGAACGATTTTGTTTTGAAAAGAAAAACAAGTAATCCAGACTTTTCTTCGATATATCTGTATTTCAATAGGATTTAATTTTGGTAGTAACATATTGTAACTCAAACTTTCTATACTCAATTTTGCCGAATGTAGATTTACGTTGAATCCATCTGATGAGTATTAGAAACTCTTTTTAAGAATTTTATCATGACATATTTTGCGTGTCGTGTTTTGAAATAATTTCCGGGCTCAAAAATTGTTTATTTATTATCCGGGCCATTATTATTGCAATGGTTGGAGAAATCGTGAAAATTAAACAAAAAGAGCAAAACTTTTGAAACTGTGATTATAGCCGCGACTTTCTTTGGTCATTGCTAACCACTTACCATATTCCACTCAACAGCTTCTAAATGAAAACTGTTCACTAGTAGAGTATATAACGTTTGGTTTCAAACTTTCATTAGTGCTGAACGTGCCGTGGGATGTCCGCGTGCCTGACGAATATGTTATGGCGGGAAACGCTGCTGTTTTGCGGTGCATTGTATGTGCCCACTGCGCAGAACGCATCGATACCACAGACTGGTTCACAGAAGACGATATCAACGTGGCACATTATTTAGGTAATTTAACAGGTCTCTAATTCCGGTAAATAAATTAGAAGCTTCCTTTAAAATTATAATTTAAAAATAAAAGAATACCTAAATAGTTATTCTTCATACAATTCTTCTTGGCTATTTTTATCAATCATTACTTTATTAACTTGTTATGTATTAGATAATTAATTTAATTATCATACAACTTTTTTTAAGAAAAATGGCCCGTGCGATGGACTTCGATACATTTAATAATCAGATTAAATTTAGATCGTCGTACATTTTTATACCCCACATATAAAAAGTGATTGATTTGTTTTCTTTCTTCAGAAGTATTAAACAATTAATGGTTCGTGTCTTATTTTAATTTATTTCAATTAAGAAATGTTTACATAAAAATAGAACAAGAATTGAGAGGTGCTCTATTTGCTCTTTTATAACATTTAAAATACGAATTTTGGAATAAATATGATTTAGAGGTTTCAATGGGTAATTGCAAAAAAATATTGTTCTTTTTTATTTTGTTATTAATATTTGTGAATTATTTATTTATAAAGCCATTACAAAGATACACATTACGTATAAAAGTCGAACTTTCTCGACTTATCGAAGCAAATCAACCTTAACTGTAGAACCATATGAGACAAAAATTTTTGTAGCAAAATATACGGATAAAAAGTTGTTGAAAATTCATGTTTACTTCAGCACATATGCCTTCAAAAATATTTCAATATGACGAATATGCAATAAAGCCTAAGTTCTGAGCACGAAACCTTTATTACATTACCAATAGAGAGTAAAAATACTTTACGCGAAGTTATGGACATTCCAAACATCCCTTCGCGACATGTTTTTTTTTTTTTTTATCTGAAAAATTGCGTTCGTAAATCATAAACCTTTTTATACACTCCAATTCCTTTGTATCTTTTTTTATTTATTACTTACTAATATGGCATAGAAACCATAAAAACTAATTTTTCCTCCTATAGATTAAAGCTTTTTTTTTGTTTGAATTTTCTACACCAAATGTGTTTTTAAAAGTCTCTGGCGTCCGTCAATCTACCATCTTCTGCCATCCAGTCATCTGATATTTTGTAAAAATATAAATAGATAACGCGAAATATTTACAACTTGACACTCACGCCCGGTTTCTGAAACACTGATCATCGTAGATGTCAACTAATCAGCTGTCAAATGGGTTTTCAAATGTTATTTGAGTTGCCAAAAGGATTGAAAATCTTTGAATTGAACATTCTGATCATTAAAAAGATCACTGTGATCACTTCAGAAAGTTTAACCATCCTTTTGGCAACTCAAATAACATTTGAAAGGCCATTTGACAGCTGATTAGTTGGCATCTACGATGATCAGTGTTTCAGAAACCGTTCGTCAGTAAGTTGTAGCGTAGTACCTGTTCAAATATCGAACACTTACGGAAGAACGTGGGTTTCAGATGTTATTAATTACTCATTGATACGTGTGTTTGTCACAGGATCGAAATATCATCGTCTAGACGATGGTTCACTGTACATAAGCGCAGTCAGCTCAGGAGACCGGCACAACGCATTCCGGTGTCGAGTACGGGACCGGATAACTGGCAATAGTCATTTTAGCCAGTACTTCGGTGGGTATTCCCCGTTTATGCGCTGAAAGCAAGCAATATTATTAAAATTTTACTACTTATTTATAAAATGGATTTGTTTGATAGCATATCGGATTTGTGAATCAATGTTCCTCGTCTTTTATTCCACGTCTTCTTCTCTAAAGAATACGAAAAGAGGATAGCGCGAATTTGTACGATCCAGTTTGTGTTATATTTGGCAGGGCATAATCCAAGCGCTACTTAAAGCTGTATTAGACGTTATGGCGTGAATAACGTTTAATGGCAGTTATTAAGCTGTTGGCTTTAGCCTTACAGGTTGTGGGTTCGATTCCCAAGCGGCGGATTAATGTGATAGGGCATCGCAGCAGTCTTCATTGTTGCATGAATAGGCAATTCCTTCCGGGGAAGTACCAAGACTTGAAGATCAATGCGAAGTGGGAATGTTACATTTCTGCATTGTCTGGAGCAACCCCACGGGTGTTGCCAATGTCTATCGCCAGCGGCTATTGCTCAAAACAGGAGTTCCCTCAGCTCATTTGCCACCGTATCATATAAAAGAAACAACTGTTTTGTATGACGTCCATATAAATCGTAGACAATCAGGTATTTATGAGGGTAGTTTTTGAGCGTAAAAGAACGTAGCAACAATGAATAACCTATCTAAAATTGGGATAAGAGAGAAAAAAGTGGAGTCAAAGAAAATATGACGCTCCATACGAAAAGCTGCTATGTCGCCGAACTGCCACAATTTATGTCTCAAACTGATACATTTTGTAACATGATTTAGATTTTTTTTTGGTGTCAAACATTTTATTCCTTCTCAAATAGATATCGAAGCGGAACTCAATTCTAATTACAACCAACAACTTCATTCGTGGCATTTATTATAACTTGCTTTTATAATAAAATTAATTTCAGTCCCACAATCCGTGTAATTAACACGACCTTAGTTAACTGCGATTGCTACACGATCTCTGTCTTTAGGACGCATAATAGTAACCGAACCGAAGGGCGAGGTGAGACCGCGGCTAGTTATGGAGCCACACTCCCGCCGGGTGCAGGTCGGTCAGGACGTGCGGCTGCCCTGCGCCGGACACGCGTGGCCCGTACCTAGTTATAGGTGGGACAATATTTTACGTCACTTATTCAATTTTTTTTAATTCAATACTGGCCAGCACTTGACTGCCATCCCACCTGATGGTAAGTTCAGAGTTAAACTTTTTTTTCTAGAGTTTCCTGAATGAAAAATGTGTATAGATAAACATGATGCAAACTTTTCGCCGATGTCAGGATACGATCCTGCTCCTTGAATACACGATAGTTTTATCTACGCATTTCTGATGTTCACTTCTTCTTGTGTAATTAGGCTTTAGTTCAATTAGGTTTACGAGCAGGCTGTTACAATACAGATATTTTATGGTATGTTCACAAATCTGTCGTTTACCATCGCTGATTGAAACTGATCTAACGTTATTCATGTTTGAACACGTTTAGAATTAACTTGAAAAAAGTATGCCGTAAGTCTTTCATAGTTTTAAGGCTTACTCTGTGATTAGCTATAGTCACGCTATATGAACCGCTTTAGACGTATTAATGAGTTTTGTAGCATATAATCAATAGGCTTTTTATAAGCCGTTGCTTGACAAATCTGTGCATATATCCTAATATAGGTAACACTGTATTCATTGGCAGGCTTACAATACAAAAATGTTACAAGTAAGAAAATTATTTCCATTATTGCAACTAAGAAGATAAACTAAATTACGGAACTAAATAAGTAATGAAATGAAGAATAGTAAATTAGTTTTCCGTCGCTTTAATGAAACAATATATCTGCTGTTATAAAACAGTTACGAAATGGTAATATAAAAGAGCAATATACAATATGGTATAAAGGCGATAATTGTAACTTATATACTCGTATATACGAGCAATATCTCCTTAGTAATGATGTAATATGAATACAGAAATAATGGTGGGCATCCCCACAAAAAAACTGCATGTCTCTGCGGAACTCATACTGTTATGAAAAATATAACTTAATATCCAATAGACATAAATTAATGGTACAATTATACAAACTTTTACTATGTTGAAAAGGCAAAAAGGGTAAACTCTACGTTGGACATTTCCAGCGAAATGCTATTTGCAAATTACACTCGCGTAGACACGCCGTTTACGCCACGCTAAAACGTTTAACTACCCACCGAGGCAAATAAAATATGACACGGTCATGTCCGAGCCCAGAGAAATTTAAATCGCTGCGTGAATTTTTATATCAATTTTCATGTTTAAGTTTAATATTATCCCTAAAATATCCTCATAAAAGCAAAATAATTAGAAATTTCGCGTTATTTATAAGTACAGAAAAAATAAACAATTCATTGCTTGGTTTTTCCTTGAGGATATATATAGATACCATATTAAATTTAAATTATTAAGTAGTGGTCAGAACTTGTTAAAATTAAAAATAAAACGCTATAAATGTAATGTTTGCTGCATAGTTAGGGTATAATTAATTTAAACCGTTCACATGTTTACATAAAAAGTCAAACATTTACTTATTAATGGCTCCTTAGCAGTCCAAGAAATACTTAATCGTTTATCGGATGAGGTAAGTAAGGTACGCACTTGTTATTGGATTACAAGTATATCCAATTAACCGTGTAACAGCGCGGCTACTCTAAATTGCTCAAGGCTTAAATGAGTTTTGACCATAAAACCCATTAGATTTTTTATTCAGTTTCTTGATATCAAGTTAAAAGGTAATGAGATCATATAAAAAATTGTCGATATTTTATTGTCTTTAAGTAACAAAATCTTTTTCCACATCTTTAGTTAATAATAATAAAACGCTAAAATTAAATAGCGATTTTTATTAAATGTTTTGTAATTAGCGGCATTCTAAGTAATAAAAAAGTATGAAAAGCATTTAAATGCTTTCAGAAACTTAAAACGAAAAATGTAATTCGAACGTACTATAATATGTAATTCGCACTACTACTGTAATTCGAAGTACTTCGTTTTTAATTATTTAATGCTCGAGTGACACGATTACAAATCTCAGTTGCGACATAAATGTAATACCATTAAATTTATCACGTGAATGGACTACAGGAAACCATCGTGAAGGATGTCTGGAAAATGCAATGGGAAATGTCTGTGTAATATAAAATAATATTCCATGATTATTATCATTACACGCATAAGAACTTCATGTGCTATACATTCCTCAGGTACTTACTATATTTTCTAGAGAATAATCGCACCAATGACTTATGATAAATCGTAGACTCACAATATTGAATTATTTTTTTCTTTATTAAAATTACCGCCTGAGATTCGAAAAAATCTGTTAGTTCTATAACATCAACGGTAACGACAAAATATGTTTGGAAACGTTAACAAGCAATCTTACCATCAATTCTGGTTGGTACTGCAAACTCTCTTCATAAGTCTTCAAAAATTATAACAATCGTTGCATTTTACGAATTTAACGAGGTAATATTTTTTATTTACGAACTTTTGTTTGTGAATGTCTCATTTGATACAGTGATACAACTCATCTGATCACTCTTGAAGACACTTAGTAAACTGTTCCACTCCTTTGCCTTGTGCATTATGAACTTTTAGAGATACCTCTTCGTCTAAACGCGGGAAAAGTCGACCACAAAGGAATGGAGGTCATCTAGCTATTCCTTGTTGCAAGAGGAAGGCGGGATATTAGTGTTAAAATGTTTAATCATGATTTGTAATTTGTTATTAGTAGTGCTAAACTTTTAGCAAGTGCCTTTATATGCGCTCTCATACACTTTGCGATGCAACTTCTACAGTTATTGGTTAAACTTTTTAAAATGTGTCCGTTATTAAAATCGGCGATTCAACAGTCTAATGGGTAGAAAATCCTCAGCAATTCCAATTCTTTTTCCAATGGCATTATCCGTGATGCATAAATTTTTGTCGCATCGCATTAAATCGGTTACACAATTTGACAAATGTCAACATTCCGATTTTGAGATATTAATCCGTGCCCTGAGATTTCCGAGCAATTTCATAATCTCCGATCCAGCGGCATGATTAGTTTTAACTGCCAAGGAGCAATTTATTACAAAATACAGCACCGCATTGCATTTGAAGCCTTGTTACATTACCCGAGCTCTGAGTGAACATTACTGGAAAATTCTGAGGGTAACTATTTTCACTGCATCGTGAGTTCTGTTCTGACCCAAAACTAGGCGATAACCGCGCAACAACGGTCCGTCAGAATCTTTAGAAATAATGTTATTTTTGCCATTTCAGGAAACCAGCCGAATTCGATCGAAAATTGAGTTCAGGATTTGAATTTCGAAACTTACGTATTTAAATGATAATTTCATTGTTTTTATTATTGCGAATAAGTTTTAGACATTGTGTATACCGGAACTTGAATACGCGTACGGTCATCGCTAATTTAAAAGAGTCACAGTGATAAAACCCGAGATCGTTTTGTATATTTAAACTAAGAAATTAAGTCCTACGGAATAGAGAAACGCTGCCCATTTCTTTCGAGCCGATATCGCGTTCTTTGTGTTCGTCGACTCGAGAGAATTACAGCAAGAATGCAGAAAGGTGAACGCCCGTTGGAAGCCACGGTCTCAGAAAGTTCTTTAGAATGCAAATTTCTCGCTGCATTTCAAACCTTTTCAGAACTATTTGCACGAAGAAAATTCAACTAAAATGATATTATAATGTGTAGCAGCTCACATTTATGACTTTAAATAATCAAAGTCATAATTTATACCATAATGATACTTATAATATTCTCTAAATACTGAAGTTTGCCGAAATCCTTCATCTCTAACAACTATCTGTGTAGTCTTCTAGGTTTGTAGAATCTCAATGACGTATACCAACTACTTTTCACTTTTTACAAGCTATCCTTGTCTACTCTGGTAGCGTCAATGGACGTTATGGTTACTTCTTTCTTTTAAGTAACAATTATTTATTTTTACTTCTCATATCGAAATTAACTTTTCGTAGGTGGTTTCGGGAACATCACGAGCAATTGATACCATTAGAGAAGTCGTCAGTATGGGAAAGGGCAATGTTACTAGGTGGGGGACTTCTCAGTATCAGAAGTGTGCACAGAGAAGACGCTGGAAGATTTGTGTGCTATCTAAACAATACTGCTGGCGAGGAGGCTTTGCATTTTACACTCATAGTAACAGGTAAGTTTCAAAGTTAACAATCACTTAGAACACAGCTAAAGCTGCAAGTAATGAAAGCTTACTTTTTGTTATGCTCGATTTACACTTGGATATCGATAAAATGGCCGTAAATTTTTGGCTCTGCTGTATTAAATACATTTTCAAAGAAAGAAAATATATTAGGATATACTACCTTAATAAAAAATGTAATTAATCCACAAGGGTACACGATGAAATTCCAACAGGGTGATTTTTCGTGCCGCGTAATAAAGCTGTACGATAATTTCATCGGCGTTTACAACTACTACGACAGGCTAGACACAAAGGCAAAGCGCAACACTCGCTTTCATGTCTGTAATCTATACTCATAATAACTTCGTGTGTATCTAACAAAGTGCTCCTCGTCGTTCGGGATCCTTTGTGTAGAAGGAAAAGTATATAGGTAAATTTTTAAATAAAAAGTACGTGACCCCCTAAATCTTTATCAAAAAGTTAATTAATTCAATGTACAACGAAGCGAGATTTTCTCTTTATGAATGACTTTAGTGGTTACGGGCACTTTCCCAATGGAATAAACCGCAAGGCTTTACACGAAATGCTTCCTTTGTTGCAGAAGCAATCTCCGTCCGAATAAAACCCGAGGTGATACGAACAAAAGCGAACTCGAACATAACTTTCGACTGCAAAGTAACTGGCCATCCGATAGAAATAGTTTATTGGCTCCACGACGGCAGAGTTGTTAAGTCGAACGAAAGAGTGAGACTATCGGAAGACGGTTTCAGGATACATATCAAAAACACGCAGGAAAATGATCAAGGGGTATATCAGTGTTTCGCAAGCAACATGCGAGATCAAGCCTACGGTATATCGGAATATACGATAGACCGTAAGTAACATAATAACCTTATCATATCAAGTATATAATAACCGTATTCGGAATATCACAGTCCGTAACCAAGATTATATTGTAACTAGTTCACCCATGTGAAATTTTCGCATTACAGTACCGTGATCAGTCACGGGAGGGTAATATATATCTTCGCTATCTCTCATTTAAACAAATAGTTAATTTATGGCATCATCATATTCATTGTAAGAATTTAAAACAACAATTACTCTATTTAACCAATCTATTTTTTATCGATTGCGATAAACATAATCATTAAAATGGTGTTTGAATCGTTAATCTTGATGATGTATACAGAATAGAAGAATTGTAAGATCAAACAGCTAACCTAAGAATATCCTTTAATAATTCCTTATATATATATGGCTACCCGTGTAACTTTACGGGCATGCGTATCGTTGTTCCTTTTGTTAAATGACCGTTTTTGTTACACATTCATTGTTGCGAGGCCATCCTCTGGGGGGAAATAATGGCGAGTTCTTTTCAGGGTCCGATGGCCGACTTCCCAACCGGTCAAGACGAACCCCCACCGCCCGCGGCGCTCACAACCACGATGCGGCAGATTGGAACTTCACCGGTACAAGAGGTGAAATGAAATGTTTACCGAAAAAAACTTTACCTTCCCTTATACGTGAAGCAGATCACTATGCCTCCTTTCATTGGCAACAAAAGTGTTCCTGGACACAGAAACTGTTTTGTATCAGTTCCCTTTTTTCTACAATATGATCACAGTCCGTAAAATATGTTGATCTCTTAAATGTAGTCATTCTTATTTTGTAACACAGTACTTTTAAATAATAGAGGGAAAAGAGATTTTTCCTGGAAAGACTACTGGGTATCCTCTATAAAAAAGTAAAATGTGCAATACTCTAACCATTGCATTAAATGAAATCATTTTAGTAGTTTTCAAAAGTATCTAATATAATAAAATGTGACTATTTAAAAAAAATTAGGCTTGGTTAAGTTCCATATTAATTTAATTTGTATTTGACTTTGTACTCCGGAGGTACATAAAATCAAATAGCAACATTATGGAAGGTGTGATATTTGAAATCGGTTTTGTTTGTTGTAACCTACTAAAATAATCGTTAAACATAAAGTCTCATAAATTCCATACAACTCAGTCGTATACGTATCAATCTTTTTAGTCATATAAATATATTTCTTAGTAACATGATATATAAAAGTGCATTTTGCAAGCTATCGAGGTAGCTCGTTGCTAGCGAGGTAGCTCGTTCAACTTAAACAAAAAGCTTCAGTGACGCAGACTGGCTTGCCTGCGGCGCATTGAATTTTCCCGTACTTAATGTTGAACCGCAAATTTTTAAATTAAGATCTTATCTCACATATTATAAGGTTGACTTTACCTAATGTGACGACAAAATACCCTGCTTTGCCTTTATTATAACGTCCCCCACTGTTGCTGGGTATGTTTTTTATAGGATTATTATGCGAAGTCAACAATAAGTTTAAATTACACAGGCTATTGGAATGAAATATGTATTTAATTTTTTACAAAGTTAAAATAATCCTGATTAAATATTCATAATAGAAATCGCAATGAATAATTATAGTTATTAAGTATGATTTCTTTTATTTTAATGTTTTTTTTTAATCCTTTAACTTAAAATGTGTCTTTGTTAATTCATCTTCTAATTACGGAACATCTGGTAGAGTTATTGAAACAAATTAGTTAATGGAATTAGAAGTGGAACAGTTAGAGCGTAAATAAATTGGCTAGGACCTACACTAGATACGCTGTCAGTACTGTCTGCAATTCGTTACTCAAAATTAATCAAAAACCCAATTATAACGCAGCTGAAAAACATTATATTTGGTTGGATAATAAGTACGAATTAAGAACTGCAATCATTATGGAATAGAGTCAAAATATTTTTTTTTATAATACACAAAAATCAAAAAACAAAACTCGCTCTGTAATTAAAACGCAACGTGGCTTTAAAGTATTGACTAAAATTCGCTGCAAATGAATAGTGATTTTTATATAAATGAGCGACAAAAGAATATTGTTACGTGGAATCCTGAAAGGCCGAGGAAACAGAGCTACGAATAATTCGGCCTTTTTTTATCATTTTTTGTGAAGATCCTGCTCGCAGCGGAGTCGTCTTTTGCCTTGGGAAACACTTTGGAAATTTGCATGCTCTTTGGTTTCGAAAGTATATATACGAATATGAATTTGAATGTATAGTGTGCATACAGTACATACGAGTGTAAACCCGGTTTCTGAACACCTGATCGTCGTAGAAGTTAACTAATCAGCTGTCAAATGGCTTTTCAAACGTTATTTAAGTTGCCAAAAGGATGGTTAAACTCTCTGAATTAATCAGAATGATCTTCTTAATGATGAGAATGATCAATTCAAAGAGTTTAACCATCCTTTTGGCAACTCAAGTGACATTTGAAAAGCTGATTAGTTAACTTCTACGATGATCAGTGTTTCGGAAATCGGGCGATAGTATTAAAATATACCAATATAAATTGTCTACTATACAGTTGCTACCTTTTAAAACTAAATTTTTAAGGCCCCTGTTTTAAAGGTCTATCAGGAATATCAAACACAAAATTATTCTAATCATCTAAAATTGCCAACTTAATTTTTTACACAATTTTAAAAAATATTTTCCCGTTGGAATTCATTTTACTGAGTACCACAAGTTAGTTTAATTTTAATTTCAGTGTTATTTTTATAACATTGGTGCGATATAAAACATTTTTAGATTTTAATCTTGGTCCGAAAAACGATGTTGCGTAAATTAGTTTTCCTTAACACGAATACTTCTAACGACATTAATGTAATGACAAGACATTATTTACACAATTTTATTTTTTTCTAGAATCGAAGCCGGAACTTGTGTACTGGTTTTCCGAGCAAACCCTACAACCGGGGCCAAGCGTGTCCCTGAAGTGTGTCGCGATGGGCCACCCACCCCCGCAGTTCAGTTGGACCCTTGATGGATTTCCCATTCCAACCAACTCTCGGTAAGTTCTCGACCTCTGTAAGACTTTGTACATATCCTTCCTTCCTGTCCTTTTTATTTACTTCATAATACTCATTGGTTTATTAACGTCCTCCCTAGAATAGAATACAGTAGGTACGCAGATAAATTATTTATACTATTATAAATGTAAGTTAGCGTTCATAAACATCAACCTTGGATGGAAGAGATAAATGTAATATGCTTGTTTTTGTTCACATAATAAGTATTAGTACAATATTTAAATTATACTTATTTTGGCGCGTTTGGAAAAATTGAGAGTAAAATTTATACGATGAGCTCACCCTCAAAAAACGACATGAAGCTTGGTAACCAATGTTTATCTTGGCAACCAATAACAACTTTTTTACATTTACTAATAATTGCAAGTTATTTAAATAAACCGTTATCAATTGCATTTAATATTTTTAAGCTAAAGAATTATATCATCTTTCGTGCGTACATAAGTACACATACATTTTTTAAATTATATTTCAAAGTTCATTACAATATATTTTATAAGAAAGAGTACAAAAGTTTTTATACATTTTATCCTGTCACAATAAGTTCAAATAATGCTTTAAAAAAGCTTGTTTGTTTTCAAAAAAAAACTCAATGTTTAGGTAAGGACTGCTTAACAGAGACTATCTCTTTCATTGTTTATTTTGTACAGAAATAATTATTCAGGCTTTATAAAACAAATGACTTCATTGTCTGTATTTCATTTCTTAACACAACAAACCAGATTTGAGTTGTTCAATAAAAAAAACTAAAGTATTAAGTTATTAAGTTTTTTTATGTGAGACAATGGAAAACGACTATAACTAATAAGTTAAAAAAACCTACAGCGTACTACTTAATTTTTTATGGGTCCACATAATTTCGCACTCAAAAAAGAGACACGAAAAATACAAAATGTTGGTTGGGAATGGCTATTATATAGATTGAATAATTTAACGAACTTTAAAATTTTAAACCTTCATTTTTTAGTTCGTAACAGGTATAATTTGTTCAAACAGATTTGTAGTTGGTCAACACGTTACACTACAAGATGATGTGGTTAGCCATCTTAACATCAGTCGAGTCACAGAACAAGATGGCGGAGAATACGCGTGTGTTGCGAGCAATACGGCGGGAAAAGCCAGTCACGCCGCCAGGGTGAACGTTTACGGTTTGCCATATATAAGAGAAATGCCAAAAGTGACGGCTGTAGCTGGCAGTGATTTAAACATAAAATGCCCCGTCGCTGGTTATCCTATAGAGTCCATCACTTGGGAAAGAGGTAATACTGAGATGTTCTTAAAAAATAAAAATTATTTCATACCATAAGATTGTAAATTGTATTTAATATTTTATATTGTAAATTGTATATAAAATTGTATTTACAATGTTATGCATTGAATAAATTAAATAAAATAATTAATCAAAAATAATGTGCAATTGTGCTGGAAGTCGATGGAAGCAGGTGGCTCAGGATCAAGCTTCGTGGCAATCTGTGAGGGAGGCCTATGTTCAGCACTGGACTCGAACAGGCTGAAATGATGATGATGATGCATTGAATGTATCATAATATTATGATACATTCAATGCATCATCAATTGTATTATAATGTATTATAATTGACACTCCAAGTAAACAAGACTTCGTTACATAACATTGTTGTTACAATTTATCCCAATATAACCAATTTAAATGAACAATGAACCAATTTGATACGAAGGAAATATGAAAATTATTTCTAAGAAGTGGCTTTATTTGATATAAGAAATTTCCGGCTTTTCAAGTATACGTGATTTTATTCTCGTATCATTTTTATAAAACGGCAGAATATTAATATCGAAGCAAAAACAAATGACAGGTATAAAGGGAAGTTATGATGATGATGATCCCTGTTTAAAAAAGCGACATTCTAAAATCAATCTAAAATTTCCATAAAAACCCAGTAAGGAAATTTATGAATTCAATTACGGAAAGAAACTAAGTTATTTGAAGAACTATTTTGTTGGAAATCTTTCATATTTTATCGGACTGAAGCACAAAACAAATAACAATTTGCGCCTCTGCAAACACTAAAGATAAATCACTCAAAACGCTTACCTCGTTATGTTCAGCGGGATGAGAAGGTATCTCGAAAGCTGAATATTTCACTTAAACTTAATTAAGTTGACTTTCAACATTTAATCAAGGTTATTTCCAAATTTTGAAAATATGAAGCGGAATAAAAAAAAAGTAAGACCCTTAAAGATATTTTATGAACGTTTCATTAAAATCAAGTTTGTCAAAATCCTTGCACATCTTCTAGATGAATAGACAATAATCCAAAGCCCTGTTTATTTAATGATACAAATATCGTAGATGTCATAAATCTGTATTCCCTTACGTCTCGACAGATGTTTTTCCATCGACAGTTCAACGTGCTCCCAGCATATTGAACATGACACCTGTCATCGATGTTTATAGGGACTATAATCCTAAATACACTGATAGTAGCGTTAAAACTGACGACAAATATTTTTTTTTATTTCAAAGGAATGGGAATTAAACAAGCTCTGGTTCTATCTCAACTGAATAATTTCGCTTTCAGTCCGTAGATAAGCTTCATCGAACGCAGAGGTCGTAGAACAACTAGATTACACGCTTTATAAGACCCGCTACTATGGTTAGGGCCGCGCATCTGCTCGGACGTGCGATAACGCACGAAGGAGTCCATAGTGAGGGAGAAGTTGTCAAGAAAGGACCAAATAGGTTCGGTGCGGACCGTAGCCAGGAGACATCACCACATCTCGCACGCGTTTTGCCAACTGCGGACGATATCTTAAAACGCAAAAGTATACCTTACTTAGCACCGGTCTTTTACAAGGCCGATGTGCTTCCCTAGTCTTGTTTGCCTCTCCGTTTGACAAAAACTTATCAACCTGCTGTCGCTATATCGTAAACATTGTTAAGTTCCCACCACCCAACAGATGGGCAAACTTTGCCATTGAATCGGCGTCAGAAGGTTTTCCCCAATGGAACGCTGATCGTAGAGCTGACACAGCGCGGCGAGGATGCTGGCACATACACCTGCCAGGCGTCCAACAGGCAACGCCACGCGGCCCGACGCGACGTTGAAGTGCAAATACTTGGTTGGTATCTGCGTTTAGAGTTAAGTGACGAAAAAATATTTAACTTAAAGCTTGGCCAATAAGTAAATGTGCATATTACTAAGCAGCAAAAAGTGTACACGCTTCAATACTTTCTCAATAATGTCGCGTGTGTGTATTTTCAACCGACTTTAAAAAGGAGGAGGTTCTCAATTAGGCTATATTTTTTTTGTTTGTAACCTCAGAACTCTGTCATTTATGAAACGGTTTTAAGTTTTTTCATTGGGTTTAATTCAACTCGCATATTAATTTCATTGGTGACCTTCGATTCCGGAGATACATCAGCAAACTCAAATAGTAAGTGTACTGTGACATTTGAAATCGGATTTGTTCTGTGTTAATAAAAAAAAATATTCTGTGCAAATTTAGATTCACACAAGTGAATCTAGATAAGTATAAATACGTGTAGCAAAAGTTTTGGATCTCTTTTAAGAATACTTTGTGCATGGTAGAGAGTGAGATATATTATAGTTAAAGTTTATATGGAGAAGTGCAGAAAGCTTTTACAAATACAAAAATAAAGTAAAGTAAATAATATGTATTCATTCATACTGATAAAACCTGCCGTCTGCCAACGAATGTTGAAATGTCAACATTATAAAAAAAAAATATATATATTATAACTATTACATTTGCGACATGGGCGACTACTATAACACTGTAATTACTGTAACACATATAAAAATACGCAGTAAAATAAAAAATAAAAAAATAATTACAACTATAACAGATTAATATTGCATTATTTTTTCGCTGATAAGGACAATTTAATTGTTCAGTTTTCATTACTTGGTTAAGTTAAGTAAAACATAACATTTAAGCGAACTTTCTTAATTTTTTCATTACATAGTTTACATTCGTGTATCGAATAGTCGAAATAAATAATAACTTGAAGCATATCACAATTATGATTTTAAATAACGAGACCATTATTATATCCAAGAGGATGAACTTACTCTTCCGTAATTCAATTTACTTAGCGCATTAACCGTTCCTGTGGCATCCGAGGGATTTTAAAGTCCGACGTTTCTCGGTTAATAGGGTAATAAACCGCGAGCACATAAATCTAAATTGAAACCCTCAGAGCATTTTAAGAGAAGGATCTGAAAAACGCAGTAAAAATAATGGTCTTCAGTCAGATGACACACAAGTTGACTGAAAACAAAGTGCAAATTAACATAACAATGCAGTTAGAAACAGCGTTTAATTACGGTAAAGTTACGTTGGAAAAACGTGACCATATTTACATAGTTACAGCAAAGTTGCCAACAAAAACGAGATTTAAGTGTTATAATTATTAATTTCTTGTTTCAGTGCGACCTAAGATATTGCCGATTCAACCGCTAACGAACTTATTGAGGGAGGGAATGAGGGCGGCGATATCATGTCAGATCCTCGAGGGCGATTTGCCGATAGCTTTCCGATGGGAGAAGAATGGCCAACCAGTCACGTCATCCCCATACGCGCCGAGCGGTATTATAACGAGAAGAATGGACGAGTACAGCTCATCGTTGGTTATCGAACATATCACGTCGTTACATAGTGGCAACTACACATGCATTGCCTCCAACATAGCTGGATCTGAACGATTCACCGTTCCCCTGACTGTCAACGGTAAATATTATCGAGGGGCTCATATTTTGACTGCATTTTTTTTCTACATTACCCTTACTGTAGAATAACATTATCCCGTGTTGTAAGGACGTTTTACAAACATAAATTTCACGTGGACAAATACCCAGATTATCTGTGGGTGACACAAACAGCTGTCCCGTGTGGGAATCGAACCCATTACTTCCGGTGCAGAAACCAATGCCTTGGCAACTGCGCCACGGAGTCATCATTTTGTTAATTATATACATAATAATATATGGATAATTTTCAGTGCCGCCAAGATGGCGTCTGGAGCCAAGCGACATTGCTGTAGCAGCTGGTCAAGATGTAACTTTGCAATGCCAAGCTGACGGGTATCCAAAGCCAAATATCACTTGGAAGAAAGCCGTGGGTAAGTAAGGAAGTATAAGCTTAGAAATTTTAAAATCGGATCTAACTTTGCAGCGCTTGAAGAAAATCACTTTTCTATCGTCAAAAGTATTATACTTCTAATGGAACGGGGACTTTAATCTGACGCAATCTCACGAAGCTTTAGTTTTCATGCAAATGGCCTCTAATTTTCAAAGTTGGATAACGCCAAGATTAGTTTTAATGTTCATAATACAGTATTTCCTTTGGACTTTAACTGGTTTTAATTTGTCTAGTACAATTACAATAAATTTAATAATATTAAATTAATTAATTCAATAAAATTAATTTATTTTTTATGATCATGATAACACAAATTACTATTAATTCTATACAGGTAGTATAACTGTTATATATCCATGTTCCAAATTTCATAAAGAGTTGCCATAAAATAAAGACAAATGGTAACAACTTATCATCATCTTTGCAAATACTGTTCAAATATGTGTAGTTAAAATAGCATGAGTATTAATTTTTGACAACGATATAATATTTATTATAACAATGGATATTCTTCCAAGAGCTAAAAAGCTCTTTTTGTTTACGAAGGAAACACACCGGGGGAATACAAGGATTTCTTGTTTGAGGGCAGCTCCAGAGTACTTGATAATGGCTCCCTCGTATTTGAACGGGTGGCGAAAGATAGCGAGGGTCATTACCTCTGCGAAGCTCGAAACAACATCGGGGCTGGATTAAGCAAGTTGATATTTTTAAAAGTTAACGGTAAGCTTATACTGTCTCTATACATTTACCGTATTACATTTACTGTATATGTTTATACCGTATACGCATAACTAATAATAGTACAGAGGCTTTTCTTTTAAATATATACGCAAACTTTTCTATTATGGATTAATGTTGTGTAATTTTCGTTTGCTCCGTTATTATTTTAAAGATAATTTAATTTTTAAATAATATTGCTAGTCTCTGCATTTAAGATGGAAATGACAAACTATTCCCTTACCTTTGATTAGAATTCGATAAAAAATTTTCTCATTACATCTTTATGTCCCAGTCTTCTACAGTAAAGTATTAAAGGAAGTGGATGTTAAAATTTATTTAACAAATACATACAGGGCCTGTCCAAATTCATTTGAAATTCATTTGATTTTTTTGTCAACTTTCCACAGTCATATTTGTAAAGCGTATGATTATATAAAAGACATATTTTTAACTTTCAAAATAGACATTATTAACTTGTGGACAAGCTAATAATGTCTATTTTGAAAGATTGCTATGTTATATACATATATACATGTTTGTATGCTGGAAAGGATATAACAATAGATGCGCCAAGCATTGCTTCAAATGCTAAATAACAATGTAGAAAGAAGGTGTTAAGATTTTCGTCGCTGTGGCTATCAGTCGCTTAGCTCAGTGGCTAGAGCGTCAGGCCGCAAATGCCGAAGACGTGGGTTCGATTCCCACAGCGGCGACAATCTTTTCGTACTTTTTCTACATGTTTTAATGTTCAATCTTAAGTGCAGAGATTAGCACTATAAAAAACTTTAAAATTTATAAGTATAACTCTTCCACTTCACACCGGTCTTCTGTGAGGTTGTGGTACTTACCCAGACGGACCTGCCCATTCGTGCATCATCGAAGTACTGTTGCTATGCTATGGCACTAGGCACTATTAAGCAATTCATTTTACAAGATTCTCCGTGTTTGGTATGACTGGTTGAAGTCCGTATAAAATTACAACATAATTCACATGTTGTCCTGTCATCTACCTGGGATACGGGCAGGAGGATGATGATGAATATAAAAATATACAAAATAATATATAATATAGTATTCAATATAATATTCAATACATACAATTCTTTAAAAAAGCATAATTCAATAAACCCAATAAGTAATACATAAAAAGGCAGCACCTATTTAATTGTCCTTAATTTTGTTTTCACATAATAAACTAATAATGGTTATGAATATTAATTAATAACTTACTATTATACATGTTTATTACAGAAAAGCCATAAATATTAATTAACTCGTATTAATAACAACGAGCAAGAGCAATACTTCGTTTATTAAATTCCGTTGAATTTTGGGAGCTCTCTTGGTATTTCGGTAAATTGCTGAGTTGGTTTCCATTTATTACACCTTTATCGTCAACTAATGAAAGGCAATGCTACGATCACTCTACGACGCCTTTGTCAAGTAGGGTACTTAAGTACTTCCAAATAAATAATAACATAGTGATAATCTCGAAATGTTTTCTGTATTTATTATTATTATTAAGCCTTTATTGCTGAAGAACTAAACACAGTCCAATCTAAAAGTATTTAAAAACTTAAATCTAACACATGGGGTTTCCCGGTTTAGTGATCAGCGTGTCCTATGACACATAGGCCTCTTCCAGTTGTTTCCATTCATTTCTGTCTGTAGCTTTTCTAGACCAGGTAGCGCCTCCAATATTTCTTATGTCGTCTATCCATCTTTTTGCCTGTCTTCCCCTTTTCCGTTTTCCATCGCGTGGTTGCCACTCGGTTATAATTTGTGTCCATTTTAACTTACTATCTCTCGTCATGTGTCCTGTCGATCTCCACTTCAACTGTCTTACTTTCCTTATTATATCTTCTACTTTGGTACTGGATCGTATTTCAACTGCTCTTAACTGATCTTTTTATTGACACCAATCATACTTCTTTCCATTCCTCGCTGACATGATCTCAATTTTAGAAGATGTTTTTGATTTAGGGCCCACGTTTGGCTACCATAGGTCAAGCAAGTTAAGACGCACGAATTGAGGACTTTTCTTTTAGCTGCCATGGAAAAGTATTTGCTTTTGAGTATCTCTTTGAATGACCAATATCTTTTCCATGCACAAGCAACTCTTCTTTCGATTTCCATGTAAGTTTGATCTCTGAATGATATTAACTGTCCCAGGTATGTGTAGCTCTTCACGTATTCAATGTTTTCGCCATCTATTGTTATCTCTATTTCATCCCTGTTTGTCATTACGTTCGTCTTAGATTTATTGATGGTAAGACCCACTAATCGACTAGCATCTGATAACTGTTGCAGCATATGTCGCAGTGTGCTAGTTTCTATATTTAATCAGATATAAATAAAATTCTCATAAAAGTCTCCCTTACGTTTTTAAGGTAACTTGCGCGCATATTCAAAAAAATTAATATCTCATATTTCCTTATAATAAACCTAAATCTACTAACCAATTTTAATCCACTTGGTATTTTAAAAAAATATACAACATAATCATTTACTTACTTTTTTACTTACGCGAACAAGTACACAATGAAACTGATTTTAAGGATTTATCGTGTTTATTTTTTCAATTCCCAATGTTAGAAATATTTTATGAGTTCATGGTCACGGGACAGAATTGAGGCGTCCAACCTGCAAATGTCATTGGTGAGACCCAGCCCGTCAGTTTTTAAAATAGCTAATAATGTGTTTGATCTACGCAGAAATTGCTTTTTGAATCATGTCTTGCAGTTTTAGTATAGTTAGGCCTAAATTTAATTTTATTAATTGTGTATGTATAAAAAAAGTTCCATTTCATAATTACAAGGAAAACGGTCGGTCGCTACCACTTTCTGCGTAGATCGGACACAAAATTAATTATTTAAAAGATATAGGTAATATAGGTATAAATGTAATACCGTCGCATTGTAATACCGTCCCCAAACCATGAATATTGCAAAGTATCTAAAACATCTGGAAATTAGGTATATGCGAAGCGTAAAAAATATTTAAATTTAAAATATTTTATAACTGCATTGATACACTATAACCACCATGAAGGTAACGCACGCGAAAATTAAATATGTATTGTGTAATTTCTATGCCATGAATAAACGCCGATCCGTTCCGAGGTACAAGTTTCAAAGTGTTTGCCGGTATGCGCGACTAGCAACCGGAAATGTCGGAAGCCACGCATCGAAGCAGCAAACTTAATGACTGCGTGTCGCAATATGTCTTCGCAATTGAGTAGGAACTGAACGTTCTCTTCATCAATTGGTGAATCATGACATGGCGGCGAAATGAGCAAAATAAATTTTCGTTGTTAAAAAATATATTATTAGACTGTGATTGCACTACTTTTAGTGATTTTCTTTGGTTTTTTTGGATTTTCTTTGGATTTTCTTTGGAATCGGTTAGACGAAGTACTTTCCTTCATTGCTTTAATTAAAAACTTCTACGTTTTTTTGGGTTCCGTAACCAAAGGGAAAACGGGACCCTACTACTAAGACTCTGTCTGTCTGTCCGTCTGTCACCGTGCTATATCTCATGAACCGTGATAGCTAGACAGTTGAAATTTTCACAGATGATGTATTTATGTTGCCGTTATAACAACAAATGCTAAAAAACAGAATAAAAACATTTAAGTTAATTATCTGTTAATATTTTAACTGTCTAACGATCACGGTTTATGAGAAACAGCCTGGTGACAGACGTACAGACTGACAAACAGACAGCGGAGTCTAGTAATAGTATCCCCCTTGGGTAGGGAACCCTAAAACATACATTGAAAATGGCAATGAAATATTTCGGTTATAATTTTAAATGTGTAGCTTGTACCTTAGCGTATGTCCTAATGCGTTTTGTTGATGCAGTATAGGTTATTGTTTTCGTTACTTTTCAATCCGCAAGATAAACAAGCACACGTCCAAAAATCGTGAGTATTTAACAATTTAAAAAACAAACTGCAGTTTTAAAACTTGACATAATACTTATAGCAAGTACATTTGAAATATTCACCACCAAGCCGTTTGAAAATGAGTTTTTGCACCCATAGCCCCAGCGCGTTTTCCTATGAAGAGTAAAACGGTGCAAGTGACGGCTGGTGAAGCAGCCCATCTACAGTGCGCTGCCTCGGGGGATTCCCCGTTGGAAGTCAGCTGGCGCAGTCCTCATCACCACACTATTGCACATCATCTCGACCAAAGGTACGATCAATACTTATAATTATTTTCAATCCATTGGGCAAGGAACTGCTTGAATTCCACTTGACAATTTAATTAGCAGTAAGTAAAAACTTACAAAAACAAACGAAATAAGTTCGATCATGTTTTACCTCAACTGGAAAAGCAGAAATAGATAATGCACCGCGTTACATTATGCCTATTAAGTCTAAAATGAAAGCATGGTGCAAATGTGCATGTCACTTGTCGTGTACCAAAAAAAGTGTGACGCTTAGATTGACCTAAGGTTGAAATCGTAATTCACTACCACTAGGTATAATAACAAAAGTACGTTCTTTCAAAACTTTAAACTTCTACTTATAATGCACGTGCACACTACCACAATGTTGAAATTAAATCTGCCGTCAACAAAATTGTATAGATGAGTGTTTCTAAATCGTAACGTATTATTTATTAAGATCTCATTAATTAAGAGACTATCTTCGTTTTCCAAAGTGTAATAATTTATTTCAGATATACTATTCGTGAACAAGTACTCGATGATGGGCTTGTGTCGGAACTTAGTATTCTGCAAACCTACAGACAGGATACGGGCGCGTTAACTTGCCGAGCTTCAAATGCCTACGGACAAGACGAAATGCTTATTCATTTGGTCGTCCAAGAGGTATGCGACCCAGTAATCGACTGGTGACGAAAATTTTATTTGTTTAATGTAAAAAGTTGGCAAGCGTGCCGGTGGTTAACAACGGTGGAAACTTTATTTTTTTTAAATTAACCACACTTGTTGGTCATTGCACTGTAATCTACTGCTTATGCATAGTGATGTTATAGTAGTCAAGGAAAAATGTAGAAGACTAACATCAAGCGTATACTTTTGACAGGTCCCTGAAATGCCGAAGAACATAAGAATAATCGATCAGCAATCAAGGTCTATACAGATATCGTGGACGCAGCCCTACGCAGGAAACAGTCCTATAATTAATTATATTGTGCAATATAAGGAGGCACCAGGTATATTTTTTATAAGAAATTATTTATAAGAAATCATTAAAACGAATTATAATTTGCAACTAAGCATACTATAATATCATGAAATACTAACGTGGATATTAATATGAACTTACACGAAACAGCTTTTCTAACTTTATGTTTGTCGTAATATGATGATAAGATTTTTCGTTTGCTTTTGTTGATTGTTTAGTAATTGCTGCTCGTTTGTTGATTGTTTAGTAATTCTGACGTTTGAGCGTAAAGGAATTGATGGCCTCTACAATCTACAATAAATAACGAACATCATACTAGATCATTAGTTTAGTGTCAGTGGTAAAATCACACATGATAAAATAAAAAAAAAACAATAGATATTAGGGCAAAATGTTTACTATGAACATTCTGTCTCCATAATATAACAGTGACTCAACAAACATGTCAAGCTTCAAGTCACAAAGCCGCTAGATGAACAGCCGTATGACACCAAACATAGATGTTAGAAAGATATAAAAATTAAACTCAAATCCATAGATTGCCAGTCGACAAATCCAACACCCATGCTCCTTGGTTTAACAATGGAAAGAATTTTACGTGATATATTTCAGAGCCATGGCCGACAACACCTCAAAAAGTCATTGTACCGGGCAGTGTGACGTCATCCAGCGTGCAAAACCTGCAACCGGCAACGTCCTATCATCTTCGAATCATTGCCGAGAATCGGTTAGGCCAAAGTGAGCCCAGTCAACTTGTTCAAGTGACTACCACAGAAGAAGGTGAGTAAACTATGGATGATAACAGTAAAAATAATTGATTTTCCCTTTATTAACATTTATAAGGGAATTTTTTGGTTGGAAAAGCATTTTAATCCGCCAGGAGCCACTCAGACGATAGCACTCACCAACTACCTACAACTACCACCAATTAAAATGCCTCTCAAAATGACGACCAGGCTGAATTTCCCAAACGGCGTCGCTTCGAATGCGTCTATATATTCATTCCTCAAATACTTCCTTGTGGTTATTATGCCGATTCTAAATATTAGGTTAAATTTCCCGTAACATTATTTTAAAATAAATGTTTCCCGAGTTTGTACTTTATCGTATTGTAACAACATAAAAAAATATTCGCGATGTTTTCTTTATCTTACGATGAAAATGTATTCACAAAGAGGTAACTTATTTTGCTTCACAGTAGGCAATTTTCCTTCAAGTAAATGCTCAACAACTGTTACATTAATTAATTCAAATGTTCTAAAAAGTTTTAACCAAAAACTTCAATAATCGAGGGACAGTACCTACTGCTAACTAAATTAGCATTGAAGAATAATAAATAATTCAATTATCGATTCAAAGTACTCAGGACACAATGCTTTGCTTTTTGAACCGATGAAGTGGATAATTGCCTCGAACACTAGTACCTTTGTATGTCCCAACAATTTCGCTTTGCGGGGAATTATTTTAACGAAATAAATTCACTGTCCACGTACACCAATCTTCGTAGCGATCTTTGATCCGATTTTTTTCAATCGACAAAACTTTTATCGAACGACCAATTTCGATTTCAGTGCCAAGTGGACCGCCGCTAGATGTGAGAGTCGAACCTAAAAGTTCGACCGAGTTAATCGTTAGTTGGGATCCGCCCCAACGCGATTTATGGAACGGCAACATTCTGGGCTACTACGTAGGATTTCAAGAGGTGAGAATGAATTTTGTGTGAATTCCTTCCAAGTCTTTTATAAAATGTCTAGATTTGCAATACAATTAAACGAAATTGATCATGTAGTTGCTTACTTCGTGTAGGTCAACTTTTTTTTAAATACCGTTTTATTTTTAAAAAAAACTCCCTCTCCTTGACCCTGAAGCAGTGATATTACTAAACTGTACGTTAAACCTGACATTATAACATCCAAATTGTATATTGTATTACTTCCAACATATCGCATACTCCGCATGTACAACGGCAAAAACTGGTATATTAATTGCAGTTAAACAACAACAGCACCGTACTGATAGCAAGCGGACCAGGTGGTGCTTCTTACACGGTACGGACGGTAGAAGGAACCGGTACGGCGCGCGCAAGAACAACACTATCCGGACTGATGAAGCATACTGCATATGCGGTCGTCGTTCAGGCTTACAACAGCCGAGGCGCGGGTCCTGCATCACCGCCAACCACTGCCACCACAATGGAAGATGGTAAATTTCCTTTTTAATAATGAAAACCCAAATTAAGTATTACATATAAAGAGGCATTCCACAATTAAAAATTAGATATAATCCAAAACCCGCATTTAGAATAATTGTAGGTCTTCTCAACACTACTACAATTGTTGTTGCTTAAAAATATTTATCTCATATAATATTTTAGCCATTGCGCCAAAAACGCCATCGGATACCTTATTTATATAATTTTAAAGCATAAGCTAACACAATGAACATATTTTAAGTAAATTGAATAGGAAAGTAACATTATTTTTTTTTATGCGAAAAAGTTGTCAAACGAGCAGACGGTTCACCTGATGTTAAGTGAATACCGCCGCCCATGGACACCTGCTACACTCGAGGGTTACAGATGCGTTGACAACCTTTTGAAAATTGGGCTCCGGCTACCTCACTCACCAGACGAAACGCGAAAGTATTTGTCATACTTCCACTTACGCCGGTCTTCTGTGAGGTCGTGGTACTTACCCAGACGGGCCTGCAAACTGGCCTGCCCATTCGTGCAACAGCCGAGGCTGCTGCGTGGCCCTACCACCGTAAAAGTAACATTAAAAGCTGCAATCTAAAAAAAACGAAGACCGAGAAGCATTAGCCAGATGCAGCCGAAATGCAGATTAGCAAATTAGCTGTTTATATGCAAAATAGTTTTATATTTATTTATCAGATATATACATATTTCATATTTTCTTGCCATGATATCTCTCCCTCACTGATGAACACGCAGTATTACAGCACCTTTTAACTAGCAATTTGCTTAGCGTTGGAGGGGCTTGAATATGGCTTTTATATTGTTACTAGTGCCCAGTCTACCGCCTGGATCACTCCAGTGCTCAGCTCTAAGTTCGCAATCGGTACGAGTTACGTGGGAACCGCCACCACTTAGGGGGCGTAATGGAATACTTCAGGGCTACAGAGTCACATACGCACCGGTAACGGATTGGTATGGTAAGTACAACAATAGAAGCCTGTGTTGTAAAAAAAATCAAGAAACAAGAAAGAAAGTTATACAAACCGTGAAGTGTTATAATCGTCGAGAAATAAACATCAAAATAGAGTACGATGAAATCCGACGGTAAATCATTCAATGAAATGTTTTAGTTCCACAAATTAGACTCCAAGCCATTTTTTTTAATCATACAGTATTCACGTTTTCATAAATTGTAATAGTAATATTCATTATCATTCAGGTGTCGAAGACGCGGTCACCAAACAAATATCAGCGCTACATACTACGTTGTCGGGACTGAGACGGTATACGAATTATTCTGTGACGGTTTGCGCTTTCACTGCTGCCGGTGATGGAGTGAGAGCTGCACCAGTCTATTGCCAGACCGAAGAAGACGGTATAGCAGATATTTTAATGAATTTTGCACTAATAACATGTCCTTAATTAATAGATAATATATTTCATACTTTCTATTCTAGTACCTTCTGCGCCGGCTGACATCAAAGCAGTGGTTTCGTCACGAAATAAGCTTCTAGTGTCCTGGCTTCCGCCGGCTTCACCCAATGGGGTGCTTGTTGGTTACACTTTATATATGAGCGTTATTGAAGATGGCCGCGAGGTAAGCTCTGACAAAAGAAGAAGTAGTTCATCTGAAGGTGAACCATCACTGTTCCTCAGAATCGTAAATATGTTGTAAATAAGTGCTTTTGATCTTTTTGTCCAAAGTAAACTGGTTTACATTGTTTACTGAAAAAATACAAATAATTTAAATTTTATGTCATAAAAAAAATTACTTTACATTATTCCTGTAAGGTCATGGTCGGTCGACACTTGCAAGCAATGGCAAAAGCCGTCGAGTGGTTTTGTTAAAATAAGCTCAACAATAACAATAACTACTCAATGTGAATAAAGTCCTTTGTCATTTTCACTTTCTGTCATTAGGAGGGCACACACAAACGGATGTTATCGCCAAGTACCCTATCCCACGAAACCGCAAGATCGCCTCCTCGAGCGACCCACCAATTCTGGGTGTCGGCGTCGACAAGGCTTGGCGAAGGAGAAGCGACGCGAGTGGTAACAGTGCTGCCTTCTGATTCTGGTACTTACTGATATTAAGTTTTTGCATTCTGAAATTAAAAATTTTAAAGCGCTAATTTCTGCATTTGACAACTTGAAAAAATTTTGTGAATGTGAACAAAAATGTTTCATACATTAAAATCTTTGTTTAAAAACAGGATGAAAAGTTATTGGCCGCTGCGGTAATCGAACTCACATCTTCCAAATTCGCACACACAAGCTTTAACCTTTAAGCTAAACGGCTGAATGCTACATCAACAATAGAAGCACCATGCATTGCACAAAATGCGATAAAACAATGTAGATTAGAAGACGTTGAGATTTTCACTAAAACTTCTGCAATCATAAGTATAATTTTACGTTTTTTTTTTTTTTTTTTTCGTTCATCAGTGCCAGCCAGAATTACATCGTTCAGTCGAAGTATTGTGACACCATGGAAGGAAAACATATCGTTGTCATGCAATAAAGTAGGCGTGCCCGCCCCATCGACAACATGGAGTATGAATGGCGCTGTTTTAGAATCGACATTGAGGAAAAATGTCACCAATGATGGAACACTTATTATCAGGTAAACTTACAAAACCAACAATATGTTATAGATTATTTGTAGCCTGGAACATATTTTTTTATAATTTTTTTACCTTCCATTATTGTATTGTTCATGTCTGTAATATATAACTTTATAATTACTATGGTTAACGAAACAATTAATTTATTGAACCAAAAACAAAATCAGGAAAATTTAGTTAATAATTTGGAACAGGCATCTGTAAACATGCACACCTTGACAGTTTGTTTACAATGAGTACACGAGGAGCACTCACACAATATCACGCAGCAGAGGGTCCAAACCCGTGGGTTCTGGCTAGCCCATCGGTTCTGCGTCCGATGAAGCTTTAATAGTCTCGGGACTGAAAGCAAAAACATCAGTAAATACAAGATACAAGTCGATCAATATCACGCAATCGGATTCAGCAATTTAAGCGCGTTGTTTGTCCATCTAGACAAGTATAAAATCAAATGATGAATGAATCAATGTGAACACCTATATTCTCCGGCTTCTTCGTGTAAAATGTTTGCATTGTAATGTAATTTGTTAACATCTATCGATAAACTTGTTCATAACTTAAATAAAACAATGTGTAGCCTATACGTTAACGCCTTTAATGTCGTCATTTTATAACAATCGGTCAATTTCGCTCTGCTGATTATGCTTGGTGACAATGTCGTCCCGAGAATCGGAGACATTGATAATACCGTCCATGATAGAAGATATACAATTTGTTTTTCTGAATTGCTAACTATTTACGATGTAAAACGAATATTTACACAAAACTTTTCTGTATTTTTTTTAGCATGACACAGTACGCGGACAGCGGTAACTACACGTGCAGCGTTGAAAATGCCCACGGTAGGGACGAAGTGACTTACGGGGTCGAAGTTAAGGTGCCGCCCCAGCCTCCCGTTCTGGCGGTGATCGACTCTTATGCGGACTCGCTGCACTTACAGTGGAGCGATCAAGGCGACGGGGGCAGCCCTATTTTAGGTAAGTGAAAATGAGACTCAAATCATGGTTACTTCCGATGCCGTAAGACAATTCCATGTTAGTACCCGTCCGCTTTGAGTGATCGGGATGATGTGGTTTTCATTATATAATCCTCGTTAGGATTCATCTAGATGTTACTTTAGTTTATTTATTGGCTATTATTTTTGTTACTTACACAGTTTTTTTACGTTATATTGATGTTTTTCGTAATGTCTCAAATAATAGATTTCTTTCATTAAATGATTCTGCGATGATTTATACAAGGCAAAATTTTCATCATAAAGGTCCATTAGCCACTATGAACTCAAATTATTCAAAAACTCTATTAAAAAATAGGCCGCGATTAATTCACGCACCAGACGTATCACTACGAAACGTAAAAGTACGATACTTTAGAATCACACCGATCTTCTTTGACACCGTGGTATTTCCTCTGACGATATTTTCCATTCGTGAAAGATCAGACGCTGTTGCGTGGCCTTGCCGCAGTAAATTAAGATATACTTAAGTGAGGTAGGTTAAAATAGGTCACCTTTATTTCCGTGCAGGATACGTCATCAACTATAAACGAGAACATGGCGATTGGGAGGAGCTACAAGTGGAAGCCGGCACGTCTGAACATGTTCTGCCTAACTTGTGGTGTGGCACGAGATACCAACTTTACATTACCGCTTTCAACCGTATCGGAACGGGACTACCCTGTGACATCGTACACGCTTACACTAAAGGCACTGGTAAGTAGTGAATCCAAGTATAATTAGAATATCAAGTATTTTTATCAGTTATGTAGTACCCATAGTACAAGCGTTGATTAGTTTGAGACTAGAGAATGTTGTGTAAAAAATGTGAACTGAAATATTTTATATTAGGTACTTTCCGCCATCGTCATATTCAGTCGAATAATCGACGACTTATTATTTATCCACAATTATTACCCGGGACAGACTTATTCCCGTGACATTGAACGCTGAAAAGGAAACGTCGGAAAATAAAACTAAAAATAAACGCGATAATACCATAATCGTAGTTTCATTTAGTAATGTATAATCGCGTAAATATAAGAAATCCACAATTATTGTCATTTGTATATGTTTGTTTAGCTATACTTTTATATTTTTTTACTTCAAATTTACACTTTTCAAATTATTTAGAAACGATAGAACTTATAACAAATAATTTGATAACAAAAGATCAAAATCGTGAATTAAAGGAAAGTGTTTTAAGATAACCTAAATATCTGAGAACAGAATGCGAAGATTAACTTCCCCAATACGTAGAGAGATCGTATCGCAAAATCCTCTTTATAATGAAGACAATATACAATGATAAATTAATACCCACTTATTCACAGTTGTAGACAAATGGGCAAGTTCTCCGTATGTGGTTTCATAACGTCGTAGAATCTCCTTGGGTATTGATTTTCTTTTAACATGTACTTGTTAATCGTACCTAAGCTGTTACTTTGTAGCCATTTTTGGGACGAGCATGCTAAATCACGTTTATCTCGTTTTTAATTAAAAATCCTCATCCGCAAATACCACAAACTCACACTATGAGAAACATAACAGCAATGATCCTAATGATATCATGTAAATTAAATGAGAATTTAATAGGTTGAGGCGGCGATCTTTTCAATCAACCTGCATAACTAGTATACTATATAATTATGTAAAAATCTCACCCATTAAATAAATTTTAACATTACAGTGCCCGTTAAACCGAAACACTCCCAAATGATCACACTGAATACGACGACTGTTACCGTCTGGTTAGACTCTTGGGGTGATGGAGGCTGCGGTATACTGTACTTTGTTATCGAATATAGAGAGATTAGTCAGACGCAGGTGAGAAATCATTTTTTCTATTTATCTTATATTTATTACCTGAATACATATATTTCAAATATAAGGATATAATAAGTATGTAAGAAATATAAGAAAAAAAGGTATAATATACTTTCAATTGTTTGTCATCTCAAATTTTAAATTTAACATTTTCTTAGATTGGGGTATGTTTCCCTCATTTAAAAACTAAATCAATAAAGTTGGAGTTTAATCACGACTTTTTATATTGGTCCTTCAACATTATACGTATATAACTTTAGCATCTCATGGCCAAAATTGATTATTAAATTAAAATATTCGTTTCAACGTACTTAAAATGATGCTACAAGCTCTTCACAACGTTGATAGCGTATCAATATTATGCCGAACATAACTATATTCGAGAGACATCATATTTTATACTAACATTCAAATTAATAAATAATTTTCCTTATAAAACTTTCGACGGTTACGACAAGAAGAGGAAACAAACACACTTTATACAAACATTTATATTAATATCAGTGTGACTTAATGAGATTTGTCGCAAAGCAAGTTATTTTTACACATAATCTTATCCTTTAAACGAGCAATTCTTGTATATTGTATATATATATATATATATATATATATATATATATATATATATATATATATATATATATATATATATGTAATTGGAATCTCGGAAACGGCTCCAGCGATTTTCATGAAATTTTGTATGTGCATAGATTCGGGGGCGAAAAATCGATCTGACTAGATTTCATTTTTAGAAAATGTCGTTTTATCCCAGTTTTCAGGGAATGAAAAATATTATTCGAATACGACGGTAAATTTCACCGAAAAAAAAATATAATAGCTAATAATAGCGGTCGGTAATCGGGCGGCCGCTAACAGACAACCACGAAACAGAAGGCCGTGGTTCGTATCACGATCATTTACACACTTATTTTTTTACTTTTTTTTTTTCGATTCCAGATCATTGCTTTCTTTATCTTTTATTTTTTGTCGATTTGTTATTTTGTTTTTTTTTCCCTTTTTTTTAAAGTTCTTTCTTTTGTGAAAAACACTAGTTCATATTTTCTTATTATTACGTCGGTAAGATCGAAACATATTATGTATATTTCATTACTTAGTAATTTTTATCTAAATGTAATTTTCAAAATACACGATTTACCCAAAAAAATAAACAAACCGAGCAAAGCTCGGTCCTCCAGGTACTTATTATTTTAATGAGCAACAAAATCTACAGACTTTAGTCAGTTCACATGTATATCCATTCCATTTCAAAGGAGACATTGTAACGAATCGCAGCGTTCCAGTTTCTCAACAGACCGTGACGTATCGCTCCATTCCAGTGGCGGCTGGTCTCAAACAGCGTGCAAGCGACGGAGCGCGTCTTCAGCGTGACGGGGCTAGCGCCGGCCACTCTCTACCAGCTCCGAATCACGGCGCACAACAACGCGGGCCACGCGCTCGCCCTCTACAACTTCACAACGCACTCGCTAACCGGCAGTCAGTCTCTACACCGTATAACTAACCAGTTGATACCCGAGACTTCATTGCATTGCTTTTTCTACTAATATTGTATTTTATCTAGCACGCCAAGAAAACACATGACACAGTTAACCTTTTGTACCTTTTTTAGAGACTGCTAGTCTCACGCAGTCAGTCTCAACAACGTATTACTAACTCGTTCATACACGACTTCGTCTGCATTGCTTATTATAAGCTACGAAAACACATCACTGAACTTGTAGTTCAGTGATGTTTTCTTTATTCTTTTTATTTGCATTCCACAATGTAGCCTCAGTGGTAAAAACTTGAAATTAACAATAATGATGGACCCTGAAATAATGAAATCAATAGAAAATAATTGGGGGCCAAGTTGCATCCACTCCTTTGTTGCCCTAAGGCCTCCAGACCTCTAAATCTGGCCTTGTTTGTAAACATTATTGAAAATATATAATGAGTTTAAAAAAAATACCCGCTGAGTTTCTTTCGTCGATTCTTCTCAGTACAGGGGCTTTCTTTACCGAACCGGTGCGCGGTGGTAGTATTTTGACTATCAATAAGCGAGTGTAACACTCCTATGTTGAATCAAGATATTTTTTTTTATTTGAGTTGAAAGTTTGTTTGCGTTACAAACTATTTATATTTATGGGGTATTTTCGTGTGTGTTATGTGGTGCAGTAGTGGAGGGCGAGATATCGCCGGCGGTTCCGGCGGCGGGTTCTCGTTCTTTCGGCGGGGCGAGGGTCCTTCTGCCCGCGGCTCTATCCCTTCTGGTTTTGGCCGCCCTGATCGCCATCGTACTTCTAGTGCGCCGAAATAGTAAGAATATTTATAGTCTACGAAATGTTGCATGACCATCGCAACCGATTTCCCATAAACCCTGGCCTTCCGACGGTTGTAGATGATTTATGAGTGGAGAACATTTGATTGACCATTGAATCGACAAATGATCACAGCAACTAAAATCAAAAAGTAATATTTACACCCTGATGATCATAACATCAGTGTGTAATTAGCAACTCTAAGTTTTACAATGCGCCTAACACAGTTTATTAATTGTTCAGTATGCAACTAGGTACCATATTCGCCTTCTTCGCCGTCTTACTTGAAGATACGTCCTAATTCAATAAAAAATAAAAAATAAAATTATATTAAATTAAAAATAAAATATATAATAATAAAAAAATTACACCGTTTATAGCTCGGCCGCTATACATCACGTGGGGGTTTCACTCAGAAGGAATTATTTCCTATGCCATACGTAGAATGTATGGCATAAGGCCTTATACCGTGTACTCACTTGCACCCCAAACGCAGTCCCTTTCAGCCAATGATAACGGCTAAATTGATACTATTCATTTTAAAGAAACTTTTCAAACAATGAAACCCCTTAATAGAAGCAGGGGCTACGGAAACTGCAGCGCCTGAGGTGGGTGTCGGAGAATCGCCGTCCGTTGCTCAGCTGCAGAACAAAGTGAACAGAGACCAGCAATATCTGGCCGCGAGGGCTCAGCATCCAGCACCTCAACACCATTACAAGCATGCGTCTAACGGTAAAACTCTCTCTACCTAGTTACTTAGTTTTCATATTATTTAAACATCTTCTCAAATAAAAAGAGTGTGCAAATACAACATGTTCACCAAAATATTAAAATTGAATAATAAAAAGAACAAATATGGATTAAAACTCAAATTAAATAAGTTAGAAGATAAACAGGAAATGGTCAAAATTATTTGCTTAGTAAAAATTCACTTATATGTATAATAACATATGAGTTAGTTTCTTCATAAATAAATGTTATATTTTTTTAATGCTTTGAAACAATTTGTGATATAACGCGATAAAATTATACTACTATAAAAGCCAATAATAACTATAAGTCTTGCACTTCACGCCGGTCTTCTATGAGGTCGTGGTACTTCCCTGGACAGGGCTGCCCATTCGTGCAACAGCTAAGACTGTTGCTTGCTCTTACCATAGTTATTGGTATCCTATTTATCAAAATAATACAAGACTAAGAATAGAAAGGGTACGAAAATGGACACATCACGTAAGACGTTCGACATTCATGTAAGAGGCATATATTATAACATAACATAATAGAGGCATATAATATATACATTAAAAGTTATGAAAAAAGACTGGAGTATTTTAACATAACATCCTTAGCGAGGCGAAAGGACCTAAGGTGCGTAGCTCTCATACGCAATTTGATTACTTATGAACTGAATTGAACAATAGTTTTATATATATTATTTTAAGTGGAATTAAATATTCTTTATCTAATAAAACTAGGTTAGGTACTTTTGAAGATATTGAAGATTTTTTTAACCGACTTTTTTCTTTGCGGTCCAGTGTACCTATGTGTATCAATGTTCTGTGTGTTTCACACTTGTGTGAATTGTATTGTGTTGTATTGTGTAAGATAAATAAACAGGAAAGTGAGACCGCTTCATAAGGTAAATTCCAAAATTCCAATGATCATTAATAATAATTACTGTAATTTCATGACGATTGCGCGTCTTCCTCTTAATCCAAGTCAAATCAAATTAGTCATAAATAACTCAGATACAACTAGAATCTGCAATCCTTCATCTGTCGTCTCTCCGGAATTAACCGATATCAAAAGAGATTTATCTACTAAGCGATTAATGAAAGCGACAAGCCTTCGTACAAAGTTATCATTGTTGTCAACTAAACTTTGTTTGAATATTGTTTCTCTCGAATAGTCTCTCGATTTACATAAACTTCGTTAGCTAGGTATGCTAACAAAGAAATTTGTTTTAAGGAATTATCTCGAAACTTTGGCGCTAATTATAATATAAATTATATCAACCGGGGGGATTCAGTCAGAATTACACATTAACATAAATAATAAGTTAACTTAGAACAAATAAAACATATGTAAATGATATTTACATATATTTAAAGGAGTATGTAAAATTTTAAAATACATTTAGGTATTTAACATAAAATATAAACAATGCATACAATATTTTTTTTAAAAAAAGCGTTACCCTTACTTTAGGATAACATCCAAAATAAAGTATCAACTGATGGTAGCTGATACAGATATATCTTATACGAATTAGACATATTCATGATAAACCAAATTGGTTTTAACAAGATTTTCTTAAGTAAAATATTAATCATATTTTTATTAATCCGTGATTAAATCCTGAAATAAAAAAAATCTGTAAATATCTAAAACACTCATTTCAAACCATAAATAAACAAAGGATAATGCAATAGGTTTTAATAAGTTTAAATAAAACAACGTTAGTTACATAGCTTATACATAAATTGTTCTTATAGCCTTAATTACAGCTACAAGAGTTGTATTCTGATTACAGAATACATTGAAGACATTTGCCCCTACGCGACATTCCAACTGACGAAGCCAACCGCTTACAGTGAGAGTAGTTACAGCGGCAACGTTTACAGCGGACCCTATCACTCCGTTCGTGGCCCCTTCGTATACCACGACTTGAAACAGAACGATAAATATAAGGTATAAACAAACCTTATCTTATTGTGAAAGACGGAACCTGATTTATATAATAAAAAATAAAAGAAATACAGTGAGTCATTCGTTAATACAACAAATTTCCAGCACACTCTCTCACTTACTCTTTCCTATATCACAATAATCGTTTTCAGAACATAATTATACATAAGAAATATCGCTAATAATTTAAATGTATCATCGCCTTAATCAAATTTCTGAAAAATATTCACTGATTTCGGTAACCGTCTGCGACTAATAAATTTGAAAGATTTTTCAATGTTTCGTCAGGGAAAAGAACCGGAATACACTAAAGTTCGAAGAAAAGGTGCAAGACTCCGTGATCCGCATTCGGAGAGCCAAGGTACGCTTTCTAACTGTAGCATTATTTGCATTAATTAATGCCGAGCTTATCTATAAGTAGTTAGCTACATTTGTTTAGTCAGTAGTTTGCACTTTGTATTGATTAAGTTTACTTTAACCCATTTAAGTTTTGAGTACAGTGATTTGAATTTGACAAAATGATCGCCTTTTATGCAACCTGATGGGAGCGTAACTGGTGTTGTAATTTATAAAGGTAAGCATGCACACAGTGTATCGTATTAATGTTCGTATTTGATTTCAATCGATCGTCCAACTTGCTTACTCTATCCGACTTAGATAGACTGCTATCATTCAATCAATACAGCTTTTAATGACCACCATCTCAGTAATGATTTTGGAGCTTAATACCTTTCTGCAATCACTCCTTCTATGACTGTTCGCACGCACATCCAACCAACTCATGGACAATACCATTTCGCTCTCTTCGATCATTAATACATTATACTACTCATATGTGTGTATCACTTGCTTTACGCTGCTGATGCGACTCACCGAAACACAAAGTATCCTCTGATTGGATCAGCCTGTCATTCTCCAAGAATGCAATGGCTTATCGGATTTTCGTGCGTTCGTGTGGCAGCTTCATCGTGCATAATTGTGTGGCGCGAACATGAGATGGGGGCTTATGTTGCAGAGTCGGACAACTTGGGCTCGACGGACTCGGAGGTGAAGAAGATATTAACGCTGCACCTGCCCATTACAGAGTACGAGGACGACGCCAGCGACGACGCTAGCGCTCCCCACTCCGACAGTGAGCCGGCGGCGAGACTCCGCCCCGCGCATCCCACCACCTGTAATTTCCCACGACTATTCCTTTTGTCATTTGAACCGAACAGACCTCGAAGATTCCACGGCCAGGCTAGATCTTTCTAGAACATTATCGCAAGCGTTAGAAAAAAAACTGTGAGGCCTTTCGTACCACACACAGATAAACACAACTTTGGAACTGACGCCATTCTAGTTCAGAATATCTGCGAAAAATCAGTGACCGACGTTAGAATAATTTTAACCAAAACTTATATATAAAAATGAATCCCTATTTCCCTTGTTCACGCCATCACGCGTGAACGGCTGGACCGATTTCTTTTTTTTTTCTTTTTGTTGTGTTTGTTATATTATCAGGAGAAGGTTCTTATAAAAGAAAAAAATTAAAAAATTCTAAATCAACACTTTTCTATATTCCCGTACTAAAGATTCGTAATAATACTTAAAAGTCAATTTGAACTTTCCGGGAAGGCAAAACAAGTGAATGACTGTGGTAAAATTTCACTTGAAATGTAAACGTCTCTTTGCTGTGCATCACTACATAGTATAAAACAAAGTCGTCCCGCTGTCTGTGTGTCCCTATGTATGCTAAGATCTTTAAAACTACACAACGGATCTTGATGCGATTTCTTTTACTAGATAGAGTGATTCAAGAGGAAGGTTCATATGTATAAAACATTGCACCCGTACGAATCCGGGGAGGGTCGCTACTTTGTTATAATTGTTCTTACACGTTAGCTTCCTGAAAATATTACCCATCTGTTTCTATTCGTACGTCTGTAAACAAATCTTGTATACCTATTTCTTCGTATAACCAATTCATTCGAATCTTCTGATTGATTTGTCTCAATTCATCAGACCCGAGTGTAGAGCGTGGCGAGTCTTCGTCTTCTTCGGAGAACTCGGTAGGTGGCGTTGTGCGCAAGGCGTTCCCGAGCCGCAAAGGCAAGGCGGGCGCCCTGGGCAAGAGGCACGTGCGCTCATCCAGCGGATACAGCAGCCACAACGATGAAACCACGTTCAGGTGATTTACTTTCACGTTTATTTTGTCGATTATCACTATCAATAGATGTTCTGCAGTAGTGTGGGTGTAGTTCTCATTGTGTGTTTGTATTTTTAAGCCACTATTTTACTTTTTTTTAGTTCATATTAAATTAAGACGAGCACATTGCTAGATTTACATTGTGGACTAGTCTTTTTTTTTTTCATTTAGATCTTCCGAAACCGTTATTTTATAGTAAAGTTTGGAATAGGGGCACTCATTTTCAAATTTTAATTTCAAAATATTTCTAAGCCATAAAAAATTATTTTGTTACAATTGAAAACTATTTTTTTTTAAATACAGCAATTATGAACTTTGCTTTTTTTAAAAGTAAAATATAATAATATGTTATGGAAGTATTCTTAATACCAAATTTTATGTGATCTTAAAAAACGCTCTTTATCAATTTGTGTTGTTAATTAAGAGTACATTATTACATAATTTCATCAAGAACTAGATTAACATACTACAAACACGCTCCAATGTTAGTTAATGTTTAAACTTTTAAAATGATTAAACGTGTTTACAATCTGCATTAAAAATACCGTTGAATTCGAAAATCGATATGAGCATTCTCTATTTTCGCATGTTTGCAATACGTAAACATTAGCTTTTTCTGTAGTTGTTAGTGTAAATAACAAGAATAATATTATATTACTGAATATAGATATGGGTTACTATTTTAAACTTTTAACTGTAAACTTTATACTTTTAAATAAATATAAAACAAAATAAGGATTACTGTAAGAAAAATTTAAAATTATGAATAATATTGCTCTTATCTCATTACATTTGGACCTTCTAACCTATTGTCTTAGTACACTCTCAGAATTTAGCAAAAAAAAATGTCTACTACTATTTGGTTTTATAAAATCAGATTACATTCCAAGTTTTGAAATTTCATGTTCATTACTGATCATTCATTCATTGTCAGTGTTATTCAATTATTCCCATCTTCATGTCACCTTGCTTAGTTTTAAGTTTAATATGTGTGTGTTAAGTCATATAATTATAGCTGATACGTTTAAAATGTCCAAACAAAGTTACTTGCCGATGCAGCATATCAAATTACCCGTCCTTCAACGAGCACATTCACCCGCCGTCGAGATTCTCGGACGACACGGAGTGCGAGGGTCACCATCGCCGCAAGCGAAGCCACGCAACACACAACGATCCCAAGATCACTCGTGAAGCATTCCAGATTAATGTGTGAACTTTCGTAAACAGATAATATAGCGAACTATTGTAACAGATAACACGGCGTCGTAGGCAAAGACGCCAGGCGCCATAGAATCCAAAGAATATACATATATAAATAAAATATCACCTTAAACAGCAACAATTTTAACTTGAAATGTTTCATATAATACATTTTTGTACTTTTTTTTTAATATACAACATATCTCATGTATTTAAATTTAATTTCCATTGAATAAAGCAAATTGTATTTAAAAATAGTTATCTTAATGGTATTAACAACCAAAAGATGTAGACATGAGTTAATGTTCTCACGTATACCTTATAGTAATTTCTATCAACTGCATTAATTATTTCTGTGCTTTCACGTGTTACTACTTCTACCTGTGGTATTTGAAATGAAAAAATTGAAGTGAAAATAAAAATCTGATATCTTGAAAATATAACAAAAACGTTGAATTGACTAAACATTTAATTAACTACCTACTTACAAAGAAAAAATCAAAAAAATGAAATATACATTTTTAAAGCCTTCGATGACACTTGTTAAATGTTTGCTACATGATATATGATGCATCAGGCTAAAATAAAGAATTCTAATCATTATAGAGTTCGAGTTAGAGTGTCAAATCGACGCCAAAGTTTATTAATTAAAATATACTTTAAAGCATGTATATAATATGGTTGTAGATATTTAGCTGTAGCAAGTAAAATGCAGTTAAGTTTAGTAAACATTCAATAAATACTCATTTATGTACTTAACTTTATTAGGAAATGTTACAAGCTGTTTACAGTTAACGTTAACTTTAATTACTTATATTATTTACTGTAAAAAGTTTCGGTCCTAATAATTGTAACAAAGTTTAATTTAATTTAATATTTAGTATGAAAAATGGTCTAGCTAGGTTGTAATAATGACTCTATGTCACTGTAAATATTGTTGTAATTTAATGTAATAATTAACAAACATAAATATTAAGAAGAACAATAATTAAAATAATACACACATGAATATATATTAAACTTAATGCCTTATTGACCAAAGTCTTAAAACTAGTTAAAGATTTAATTGAAAAATTACATCTTAAATTCGACTATGAATTGTTTAAATGTTGTAAAGTTTATCGAAACTTTTTCATTGGCAAAACTTATCACTGTTTACTAAATAATAACTTATTATATTATAGCTGTTAATTTATATAGGGGTTAAAAATTTCCATAACGATATTCATGAAATATCTTTGTTTTCTATTTCTCACAAGACTGATTTTATTTTATACCAAAGCTTAAATTATTGTGTAAAAAAACTTACAGACTTTCGGTGAGACTTAAACTTTTGGTAATTTATTATATGTTGCTATAACTTATTGCATAAAATAATTTTGTACTTAATACCCGATACTTGTTACGTGGTACACAGTTATGAGATGTTAGTTAATCCAATAGTATTTTAGATAATTGACAAATAATTTTGATCGAATGGACCCCATAAGAGTAATTTATCGATGATTCATCGTAAGTTAAAGTGTGCCTGCTTCTATGTAAGTCATGTTACACAATCCTCAGTGAACAGAGACACGAGACAATACACTTACCTACCTATAGCTGTTTGGTGAATATGGCAGAAAGTTACCTATCTTTAAATTGTACATTTCAATTGTAACGTGTAGTTATACTTTTGTGAGTGTTATCAAATTTTTATTGATCTATCTATCAATTGACACTAGTTTTGTATTCAAAAATACATTTAGGAGAACGATGTACGATGTGTTTTTTTAATAATTTACATTCGTTTACGTTGTCTCTCTTTCGTAATTCCAACGAAGACTGCCCTATATTTAATTGAGATCTATTTTATATAATCTAGACACAAATATTTAATGCTAGTCAATGAAAGTAAAATTTAGAATTTAGTAAGCTGAAATATTTATGTTAATATTAAATGTATCTGTTTATAAAATTAAAAAAATGTAGAGAAATATCCATGATTCCAATGTACCATAAAACCACACGTGGATTTCTGTTGCAATTATATAAATCGTCTTTAGCTGAAAGTTTACTGAGGTTAGTAAAATCTTACTTTGTTAACGCAATCTGGGTATATATTTTACATGGCAATATTTATATACTTTTGCAACTGATATATAATTTCCAAACAAAAATAAATAATGTGAACACATGGTTCATAATATTAACAAACACATCGCAATCTATAGTCTTCACGTGTTAGCATGACAAAATAGCGAGGATTGGAGGCAATACTCGCTATTTGTTATCTAATGTCTACTGTACACTCGTAATTGAGTTAGCAATCTTACAATATTGCTTGCAACATCTGAAATTACTGTCGCGTATCCTTGTAGCGTATTATTAAGAAATTGGAGTTCGCAGTAGCAGTCGGGTCAATGCTAACAAACGAAGACTACAAGCGATAGTCAACATTTCATTTCAACAATACCTGAGTTTTAAAGTGAGAAATAAGCATAAAAAGATCAAAAAAAACTTTTATCTAAAACACGATTTATTGTTAATGCTTTATGACTTAATTTCCTTAGCAGGGCGAAATGATAGCAATTACTTATATATATATATATATATATATATATATATATCCTTATCCCGAAATCGTTTCCAATAGTAGGACCCTGCATGTTTATTGTAATGTGTAATCATACAAGTATGTTATTTATTCAATAGTTGCATGATCCTCAAACAGAATCTCAAAATGTATTTCTCCGACGCTAGTCTGCGTACCATATCATTTTTAAAACTCCGTTACCACGATTAATCATAATGTAAGCGTTAATCATGTTGTTGCAGATGTGTTTTTATAAAGAAAACAAACGAGTTAGGAACGGTATGATGTGAACGGAAATAAAAATACATTTACTTTAACTTGTCCTTTTATTTGAGATCAATCTTGGCTACTACTTAAAGTCCCCTTGCAAAATTCCCTTCCCTTATCACGGAATCCTGTTGATATCACTTTGGTGTCTATATCTGTTAATTAATAATTTGTGGCGTTTCAAGACTATGGTCGCCAAGCGATGTAAAAATTAAATCAATGTCCTGATAATAATAGAATAAATCAAAATAGGTTTACTTAATATGGTATATTAAATTGCAACAAATCAATTTTATAACATATTTTATATTCACACTTCAGACTTATAAAAAGCTCAGTTACTCCCTATTTAAGAACGACTTTACATTTGATGAATAATATAGGTAGGCAAACCAAGTTTATGGTACAAAGTAAATAAAGTGGGTAATAGAATAAAATCCATCACGCTACCCCACCAAGTATTATTATTTCGAAAATATACAAGTTTCCAATGTTTTCCTCCAACAATGGCCACTCGATAAATTAGCACTAAAATTAGTGCCGATATCGGGATTTGAACTCTAATTACTCGAGTTCATTGAATTAAAAACGAGCGCCCGGACATTGAGCTATGACAGAATTTCGAATCTCACGAAGGTGAGGTACGTCGAACTGCATAGTGACTCTTGAAGCAAACTAAATATTAATCCTAAAACTAATAATAAATAATCCGAAAACCATTGAAATCCTCTGTTGGAAAAAGCAATGAAGCTGTAATAATCAACGCACTGAAGCAAAAGCATAATTTCCTCAAACCTGCTGTAATAGTCTACTACAACAAATAAGTGGTCACCACTTGGGATGGAGGCCATCAAATCGATCGCGATATCAATATTACCAGTCTGGCAGCTCACGTTTTATAGGGTTTGGTGCAAATGGTGCAGATAGAGGAGTGCATCATTTACACACTTTCACAAGGCATGCTTGTCGCATCTAGGCCACCAAACTTTTGTTCCAAGCCTTGCCTTAATCGCACAATGCCGGGATGTCCCTCATGGGCTGCATCTCAAAGTAGTTTACGGTGTGCTCTCAATAATATACGCTCATGGAAACAGTTCATTTTGAAAGATTTTTTTTAGAAGATAGTTTCACGTCGTCGTTCCATATGTTGCGATAGGGGAAACTGCCCGAAGACGGGCAACATTCACAATTTGGCAAATGTGATTATGTATTACGGATTTTTCTGCACTTTTACTGAGTCTAGACAACGAATCTACGATATTGATTTTACCCGATAAATAAACTACTTTATAGTTGTACGATTGTAGGCGCATAACCCATCTTTCTATCCTAGCACATGGTTTAGATTTAGTACCGAATATAACCTCCAACTGTTTGTGGTCCGTTATAAGTTCAAATTACCAATATATGTGAAAGTGTTCCATATCCACGGGTTAATTCCTCTTTGTCTATCTGACGATAGCGGCGTTCAGTCATTCAGTTTTGTAACCATATACAATAAACCTGGGGTTATACAGAACTTGCGTCTGCGTAAACGATCGTACGATCGTTTACATCGTAATACCCTATATATTAATTGCAATGATTTCCTTCAACGATTCAAAACATCGGCGTTGTTCTGGTCCCCAGTCCCAGTGTTTTGTAATATCGGATTGATCTCCGTTTTTATTTGGTAGGAGTGTTTTAAGGGATGGTGTGACTGTTTCATGGTTAGGAATCCATTTGAATGAATGAATGAATGAATATTCTTTATTGCATACACCATGGTAAAAAAGAAAACATTAAAATATCAATCATGTAAGGGTTGTACACTAGTCCATTTGTTCGCTAAATTAATCACGCCTAAGAAACTTTGTACCTCTCGGGTAGTTTTAAGCGCTCTAAATTCTTTTACTGTGGAAATGTACTTTTTCAGTGGCCTTACCCCATTTTGGCTGACAATCCATGTCCTAAGTAACTCACTTTCCTCATCCCGAAAGAACACTTTTCATTTATTATTAATACATTATATTCTTTTAGAACAGACAATTCTTTCTTTATTCGAGAATCATGTTCATGCATGTCCTTTCCGTATACCAAAATTTCATCAATGTAATTTACCACTCCTTCACAGCCTAAAAGCATGTAATCTAATGTTTTCTGAAAGATTTCTGGAGCACACAATATGC